TTGAAGTCAAGAAAATGGTAGGGAACGTAGAAAAATTTGCAGAAACCAAAGATGTGCACTTTCTGTATCAGTGCACTAAAGATGAACTACGTGAGGTAGCATCCTCATATAATATTTCACTGAGAACATTTATTAAAAGTGACATGCAGCGAGAATTGATTGATGATCTGATCTCAATGTCAGTACTTGGTGAAATTGATCTCCCTGATAAACCTAGTTCTGATGAAGTGCAGATGAATGAGCAATTAGCAATGGAAAAGTTAAGGCTAGAATTTGAGTACAAGAAGATGCAGCTACAGGCAGGGAAGGAGATAAAAATTAAAGAGTTAGAAGTTGAAGAGAAACTAGGTACAAGAAGAGAAATTGGAGATAAGGATAATAGAGCAAAGAATCTACCTGAGTTTATTGAAGAGGAAGCTGAGGACTTCTTTATTCAGTTTGAAAAAGTTGCTAAAATCAAAGGATGGGATGAAAGTGACTGGGCAGTATTGATTCAGAGTAAATTTAAGGGCAAAGCTCGAGAAGCATATGTATGTTTGAGTATAGAGGAGTCTACAGATTATAGGACTGTCAAAGAAGCAGTGTTAAAGACTGTGGAAAAGGATCCAGAAGTGTATAGGAGAAGGTTCAGAGACATAAAGAAAGGAAGTGGACAAACTCACTTAGAAATAGCTAGAATATGTGGGATGAAATTTGATAGGTGGTGTAAATCTGAAGAAGTGAATAAGATGGGTGAACTGAGAGAGCTGATACTTTTGGAACACTTCAAAAGTATTGTGCCTCCTGACATAAGGTATGAAATAGGTAAGAGTAGAGTGAGAAATTTGATGGACGCAGCGAGATTGGCTGACCACATTGAAGTAGCACATAGAATGTATGGGGAAGACAGGTCCGATAGACAAAATAAAGTAAGGCATAATGCAAACCCAGCATATGACAGAAATTACAGCCATCAGTCATATTCCAAATTTAAGCCAAATAATTCAGATTTTGCCAAGAGAGGTCGAAGTAATTATATATTGCAAGACACTGTAGAGAAGAAACCCCAAGAACAGTCTGTAAATAAGCATCCCAGATCTGAGCAAACTTACAACCAGCATTTTAGCAGACAACAGAGACCACCAGTGAAATGTTTTGCGTGTGGAGAAATAGGTCATGTCAGAAGTCAGTGCCAGAGTATCCAGAAGTCTGTGGGATTAACTATGGGTAGAGGAAAATCCCAACATGTGTGTGACATTAGGGATGCCAACTATAATGTAAGAAAACAGAAACCTGTGGATTTTGAACCATTTATATTTGAAGGAAGGGTTAGTCTTAAAGGTATTCCAGAGAAGAAAATATTATTTTTAAGAGATACTGGATCAAATCAAAGTTTAATTTTAAAGGGATTATTAGAATGGACCAGTGAATCTTACACTGGAAGGGATGTATGCATAAAAGGGTTAGGATTAGGCATGACTGTCCCACTGCATAATGTGAATCTTGAGAGCGGGTTTGTGAATGGCATTGTTGAAGTAGGAGTAAAGGATGAACTTCCAGTACCAGGAGTACAGATGCTGTTAGGGAATGACTTAGCTGGTGATAAGACAATCCCTGAACCTATTATGTGTGAGAACCCACTCAAGGGGGAAGCTTCTGTAGAGAAGAGAGAGACAAATAATGAGATATACCCTGCCTGTGTTGTGACCAGAGCAATGTCAAAGATAGGTGAAGAAATTGATGAAGTAGAAGTAGGGAATTTATTTGAGGAAGAGTTAGCAACAAATGGTGATGCAGTAGAAGTAAAGAAGAATGAACAGGGTACTATAAAAATGAAAATAGATATATTACCTGATTTTGTTGTTGACAAAAAGGAATTGGTAAAATTACAGATGGGTGATGAGAGTTTGACGGGATGTTGGAGTGAAGCAAAGTGTAATGGTGGAGAGAATGATGTAACTATTGGATTTTATGTACATGGTGATGTATTAATGAGAAAGTGGAGACCTGTGGATGTTCCAGTATCAGATCATTGGGAAGTGAGGAAGCAGATTGTAGTCCCAAAGGAATATAGGGAACATGTTATTGCTTTGTCCCATGATTCATATTTATCTGGACATTTGGGAGTCAGAAAGACCACTGACAGGTTGTTGACCCATTATTATTGGCCAAATATGAAAAAGGATGTATCTGTTTACTGTAAAACATGTGAGATATGCCAAAGAGTAGGTAAACCAAACCAGGTTATAAAACCTGCACCTCTAAAGCCCATTCCAGCATTCTGTAAACCATTTAGCAAGATAGTGATTGATTGTGTAGGTCCTCTACCTAGGACACGGAAAGGAAATTGCTATTTGTTGACTATCATGTGTGCATCCACTAGATTTCCAGAAGCCATACCAATGCGTAGCATACACTCTAAGAACATTGTGAGGGAGTTAGTGAGATATTTTTCCTGGGTAGGTCTACCTGAAATTGTACAATCAGATCAGGGAAGTAATTTCACTTCAGGAATGTTCAAGAAAATTTTAAAGGGATTACATATTAAACATAATTTGTCAAGTGCTTATCATCCTCAGAGCCAGGGAGTGGTGGAAAGATTTCACCAAACTTTGAAAAATATTTTGAAAATGTATTGTGAAGAATTATCCATGGACTGGGATGAGGGTGTACCTTTAGCTTTGTTTGCCATAAGAGATGCTGTGCAAGAGTCCACTGGATATAGTCCATTCGAGTTGGTATATGGACATGAAGTGAGAGGTCCTCTGAGCATGCTGAAGGAGAAGTGGATTGGGAAGGACGATGCTCCAGGATTACTAAAGTATGTGTCCGACTTTAAGAATAGATTATTTAGAGCTAGAGAAATTGCTGCAGAGAACTTAAAGAAATGTCAAGAGGATATGAAGAAATGGTACGATCAGAAGTCTAAGAGCAGAGAGTTCAAGCCGGGTGACAAAGTATTAGTATTGCTACCCCAAACAGGAAACCCTTTGAAGGCAAGATTCCAAGGTCCTTGGATAGTTGAAAAGAGAGTAGGAGAATTAAACTATGTAGTGAGCACCCCAGGAAAACGCAAGCCGAACCAGTTGTGTCATGTTAACATGATAAAACCTTATTATGACAGAAATTCAACAGAAAATAATGTAAGCAACAAAGTGAACTGTGTATGTACAAATTTAAGTGAGGAACAAACGGTATATGAAAATGATGTAAAACTTGAAAGGTGTGAAAATAAGCTCTTGAAAAATTCAGATGCAATAAATAATTTAACACAGAAACTCAACCATTTGGGAAATGAGAAGAAGGGTCAAATTATGCAAATTGTACAGGATTTTAAACCTCTGTTTTCTGATGTTCCTAGGAGAACTGATGTGTTACAACATGATGTGGAGGTTACAGACACATCACCGATTAAACAACACCCTTATAGAGTGAATCCTAAATTGAGAGAGATAATGAGGAAAGAAGTAGAGTATATGCTTGAAAATGACTTGATTGAAAAGAGTAATAGTCCTTGGAGTTCACCATGCGTACTAGTTGCTAAGTCTGATGGGATTTCTTATAGATTTTGTACAGATTACCGGAAAGTAAATAATGTAACTAAAGCTGATTCTTATCCTATCCCAAGAATAGATGACTGCATTGATCAGATAGGTGAGGCTAAATATGTAACTAAAATAGATTTATTGAAGGGATACTGGGAAGTACCACTAACTGCGAGAGCTAAAGAGATTTCAGCATTTGTGACTATGGATGGTCTATATCAATATAAAGTGTTACCATTCGGTATGAAAAACAGTGGTAGTACATTCCAGAGACTAGTTAATCAAGTATTGTGTAATGTAAAAGGCTGTGCAGTGTATATAGATGATATAATCTTGTATTCAAAAACTTGGGAAGAACATGTGTATATAATCAAAGAAGTATTTGATAAATTGAATCAAGCAAATCTGACTGTAAACCTCGTGAAGAGTGAATTTGCCCAAGCAACTGTGGAATATCTAGGTTATATTGTGGGGCAAGGAACTGTCAAGCCAATTGATGCTAAGGTGGAAAGTATTGTGAATTACCCCATTCCGAACAATAGGAAAGAATTGTTAAGATTTTTGGGTATGAGTGGATATTATCGTAGATTTTGTAATAACTACTCAACCATTGCTTTTCCCTTGACCAACTTACTGTCAAAGAAAGTAAAATTTGTGTGGAGTGCTCAGGCTGATGAAGCCTTTAGGAAACTGAAACAGATACTTATAAATGCACCTATTCTTTCCACCCCAAATTATGATGTACCTTTCAAATTGTATGTAGATGCTAGTGATTTTGGAATTGGTGGAGTCTTAATGCAAGAGAAAGATGGTGTTGATCACCCTATTTGTTATTTCTCAAAGAAATTTTTATCATATCAAAAGAACTATAGTACCATTGAAAAAGAATCATTGGCACTGATTTTGAGTTTGAACCATTTTGATGTTTATTTGAGAGGGTTGAATAAAGCAATCCAAGTTTATACAGATCATAACCCACTTGTATTTTTGCATAAGATGAAGAATGTAAATCAAAGATTGACAAGGTGGAGTCTTTTGTTACAGGATTATAATTTGATTATTGAACATGTGAAGGGGAAAGAAAATGTAGTAGCTGACACATTGTCCCGTATACCATGTAGTCATGAGTCAACCTGTGGCTGACTCATGCCTGTTTTGGGAGGGGGGATGTTACACTAATCCTCTCATATCCTAATTTTTCTTATGATATTTTTTTATATAGGTTAAAGCAATTATCTAGTAGTGCATCATAGAAATAATGGTTTAATTTCTGGAACGATATTTTATACTTTTAAAAGTGGTTTATGATTTATTTGCATCTGTTGAGTATTATCCGTTTGATTTCATTAATTGATCTATATAAAAAGTTTTTCCTCATTTAATACAAATGTGAGGATCAAGAAGATGCTAATATTTAGTTGGATTAAGATACAAAGTGAAATGTCGATTATTTAGGAAAAGTGTTGGAACGTTTTG